CTTCGGGAAACATGCTACGACATGTATTGACGTGCCCCAGAGTTGAGGAAGAAACCTTATCGCGCTGGAAAGAGTATGACGTGAACCGTCGACATGCCGCGGCGGCGAAGATGGTTACACCGCCCCCCAAATCCAAGAAAAGGAAAGCTGACTCAATAACTAAGCAATTGTTCCCAACTCCTTGCTCTTCGCCGGCCAACCGCAGCGCTCGGAAAACATCACGTTCGACTGGGGCCCAAGCATCAACGCGGCTCTCCGCCAGAAAAAAGATGGACAATTTTCTACGAGTTGCTATGGGTTTCTATTCTACTGAAATCCCTTTCCGAGTTGTCGAAGAACCAAGTTTTCAAGCTATGTTTGACTACAAGTTACCATTACGTCACCAGTTGTCTGGTAATTTATTGGATACCGTGTACTCCCGCGAAAACGATCGTGTTATATCGCTGTTGAAAGAAGCATCAGATTTGGCAATTGTTTCGGACGGTTGGACCAACATCAATGGTGATAGTATCGTTAATTTTGTCCTCGTAAACCCTCGCTTTCCGTCAGTGTTGTCGAAGTCTATTAACACGGTGGCACACATGCATACTGGAGAGTACATTGCGGGCACAATTTTGACTACGATTGCAGATGTTGGGCACGTAAGATAATATCTTCGCTTGTGACCGATAACGCCCCTAATATGACAAAGGCATGGCAAGTTGTAAAGGCCAAACGTCCAGATATTGCATGCGCTTGGTGTGCTGCGCATGGGATGAACTTAGTGATGAAGGACATTCTGAAGCCGGATTACTTCAAAAGTGTTGTTACCGACGCAAAAATACTGGCGCGGTTGTTTTAAGGTCCGTGCCGGATTGTGGTCTCTCTTCCGCGAGCGGCAATCTCAAATGAGGAAAGAAGGTGAAAAGCAAGGTGAAAAGCGTTGTCGTCTTTCTCTCCCGGTTCCCACTCGCTGGTACACACACGAGAAATGCATCGGGAATGTCGTTCAAAACAAAGACATAATTTCTGCTCTTTTCTCCCGCAAAGATTTACGGAAACGCTATGAAGATGCTGAACTGGATGAAGCAGATCGCGTGTTCAGTGATGCTACCTTCTGGGACAAAGCGGAAGCAGCCCTCGAGCTGCTCAAACCGGTCAATGCTTCACTGTCTGCATTTAAACAGCGACGAGTCCAGCTTCTCCACAATCTTCAACACATTTGCTACTTTAAAGGCCCTTGGTGTGTACTCAAAGCCCTTGAAGGGATGCCCTAACACGATACAGAGTGCAGTTGTCGATATCTGCAGCCACCGCCGAACCAAAATGTCCACGCTGACAGCCCAAGTTGCCGCCTTACTGGATCAAAATCTGACATTGGATGCCCTCGACGATGATTCCACAACAATGGTTGAAAAAGCTGTGGAGCTTGCCATTTCCATGCAGATTATTTCAGCTGACGATGGATATGCTTTTCACAAGGTGCTGCAAAAGTATGCCACGTAAAAGGCTACGTGGAGCGAAGCAACTAAGCAGAAAAATGCGCGGTACACACCTTTAAATTGGTGGATATTAGCGCCAAAGCGTTTTTCCGCGATCAAGCCATTTGCAACGCGAATCCTATCTATTCCAACATTCTCTGCTTCCAGTGAGCGCAACTGGAGTATCCACGGTTATATTCACACAAAAACTCGCAATCGGCTTTCCCCAGATCGCGTGAACAAACTCGTGTTCATTTATTGCAACTTGGGGGCAACCAGTGAAGTCAACCATATCATGTACGAACTGTTCCCCAAGGCGTGTGACGAAAACGACTCAAGTGACGACGAAGCCGACGCAGAGGAATGCGCACCCATCCGAATACGTTCTCCTGTGAATGTTGAGCAAATCCGCGGATCCAACACGTCGTTCTTGTCCCCACAGCCATCGTCGAGAGCATCAACGATTCGCATTTCAAGTACCATATCATAATTGTATTAAGTAGCGGCTACAGTGACAACATCGTTACGTTCAGAACAAGCAGGTCCGGAAGGTTGTTGCTGTCGCTAAGAGTGCTCGCCTGCTTCTTTGCGCCGAATGCCACAGCCTCGTCTGGATTGCTCGAGTGATACGGCTTCTCGACGTTAAGAGATCCGTCAGCAGCTGCAGCATTGAGGATTCGTGTCGAGGTGCCCGCCAGCACCACCTCGTGCAACGGCTCTTGGACGGCTATGAGGCACGCAGATCCTTCCCCACGGGTTTCTTCGTCGTGCGGAAGTCGTCGCTGCACAGGTTCCCGAAGCGCGCGTGCGTGCTGATCGAGTTGAAGTCGACGGCGTCGAACAGCGAGTCGATCTTGATGTACGTCTGCGCTGACGACAACAGGTTCCGCTTGGTGCGTTAGCATACCGTGTTCGGTCGGCGCAGCGCGCGCTAGTACTACGTCAGGTCCTTGCGGTGGTGGGGCTTGAACTCCTGCTCAAAGTACTCCACCAGGCGGTTATCAGAGTCCTCGCCACCTAGGTGCTTGTCGCCCGCCGTCGCCTTCACCAAGAAGATGCCCTCCTCGTTGTTCAGCAGCAACATGTCGGAGATGCCGCTGCCCAGTCGAAGATCAGCTCGTTGCCCATCTTGTTCAGGCCGAACGCGATGGTGGAGGCTGTCGGCTTGCTGATGATTCGCAGCATGTTGAGCCCGGTGAAGGCGCTAGTGTCCTTGGTGGCCTGGCGCGCCGAGTCGTTGAAGTATGCCGGCACCG